CTGGTCTCCCTGGCCCATTATCAGAAGGCAATGCAAAAGCTGATGCAGCCACACAAGACTTGTTCCTTGCCATAACACAACAAAAAGGAATTTCTGCAGCTCAGCAGACTCATCAGCTACATCATCTAAATGCCAGAACTTTAAGAATTTTACACAAAATAACTAAAGAACAGGCTAGACAAATAGTTAAAAGTTGCTCTCAGTGTTTACAGAATACCTCTGTGCCCCACCTAGGGGTCAACCCTAGAGGATTAGTACCTAATGCTTTGTGGCAAATGGATGTAACACATCTCCCTGAGTTTGGCAATTTAAAGTATATACATGTCTCCATAGATACATTTAGTGGTTATATTTTTGCCTCTCTACAAACAGGAGAAGCTACAAAACATGTTATTGCACACATGTTAAGTGCCCTTTCTTCTATGGGAAAGCCAGATTCCCTAAAAACAGATAATGGGCCTGGATACACTAGTTCCCGGTTTGCAGATTTTTGTACAAAATTGCACATTAAACATATTACAGGCATCCCTTATAATCCACAGGGACAAGGTATAGTAGAAAGAGCTAATCAAACCATAAAATGCACAATCAATAAAATAAAAAAGGGGGAATGGTACCCTACTAAAGGGACACCCAGAAATTTACTATCTCATACACTATTTATTTTAAATTTTTTAACTTTGGATGCTCAAGGACTTTCCGCAGCACAAAGATTTTGGCAATCCTCCACACAAAAACAATATGCCTCTGTACTGTGGAAAGACCCACTAGATAATTCCTGGCATGGTCCTGACCCTGTTCTTATTTGGGGACGAGGGTCGGTTTGTATATATAATAAACAGGCCCAATCTGCACGGTGGTTACCTGAACGCCTTGTTAGGCAAATTAACACATCATAACCCCAGGCCCAGGGTTCTACTGCACCCTGAGGATGGTGTTTTCTTTTTTTAGGGTCAACAATGTTTCTCCTGCTGCTTATCCTGATCACGTGGGCAAGGATTGGAGCCGAGTGGGAAGACAACTTTATCGTTTAATAGAAACCAACATCCAGAAGCTGTATGAACAGGCGAAATGGCTGCACCAGTATAATCAGAAGAAGACAGAAGCTTCCTCCGCCCTTTCTTCCATGTTTAATGGCATATTACCCTATGTCCTCCCTCTCTTAGGCCCTCTCCTAGGCTTGCTCCTTTTACTATCCTTTGGGCCCCTTACTTGGCCTTTTACTGATTGTGTCACTAAGACCCTTCCTCTTCAATAAGGTGATGGCTTTCATCAAGGAGCAGATAGATGCCATTAAGATGCAGTCTATACAGGTCCACCACTATCATAGACTTGAAATGGCCGACAGAGAAGCTCACTCTAGCTGTGAGTCAATAAGCTCAAAAACCTCGTCACCTTGGTGCGCTGGGCTGGTTAGCCAGAGACAGGCAACTGGAACTCACACGCGTCGCCAACCACCACCTAAGACAGGAACAAGGCCTTATGCTGCCTTGCTTTCCAATGACGGGTAAGGACAGGTTGGCACCGTGTGCAAGTTTCCTGACCTAAGACAGGCACAGTCCCCTCAAGGTATTATTTCGGCCTTAAAAAATTAAAGAAAAGGGGGACCTGTGGGAGACATTTTGCATGGCATCAATTTTGTTATAATCTGCTCTGCCATCACCTGCCCCAAGGCAGGATATCTCTGCATTCTGCATTTCTTTATCTCTGTATTTTGCATTTCTCTAAGTAACCATTTACTCATCAGCCAGTCTTTACTGACCTTTTGTTCCTTTTGTAGTATTTCCTAGAATTGCTTCGGGCAAGCCTGGTGCTTGGCAACAGGTGCTTCTTGCCCAATATATTGTGTGAATTACCCCTGAATAAACGAGACTTGATCAGAATCCTGTCTTGTCTCCATTTCTCGTGTCTCTTGTCCCTCCTCATCCTCACTCCCCCTCTAGAGTCCTCGTTGCTCGACCTGCGGGATGGGTCATGTGCAGCCCTGGGCAGTTGCTCTTTGGCTTCTGCTTCAATAGAGCTGTTCATGAAAGCTGAGGAGAGCACCCTTGGGCCATTCTTCTTTTTCTTTCACTCTTGCCTGGTGAAATCTTATCTACCTGCTTCCAAGCTTCCCCCACCCCAATTATAATGCCCTCTGGTCTCTCTCAACTGGGAGCTAAACAAAGCTAGAGGGAGCCTGGGCCAGTAGGGCTCAGTGGTTGAGCGTGGACCCATGCACCAAGAGGTCGCCAGTTTGATTCCCAGTCAGGGTACATGCCCAGGTTGTGTGCCTGATCCCCAGTGGGAGGTATGCAGGAGGCGGCCAATCAATGTTCTCTCTCATCAATGTCTCTCTCTCTCCCTCTTCCTTCCCCTCTCTCTAAAATTAATAAAGGAAAAAATCCTTTATATTAAAAACAAGAGCTCTTCCTTGATCTTGATAAATATCTCATTAAAAAAAAAAAAAGCTAGAGGGAGAGCTGGAATTGGGAGAATGAAAGCAAACAGGAGGAAGGGAATTGGGACTTGACAACCCAGCTGGATCCAACCTTGTGTTAAATGGCTCACTTCACTCTTATCAACTGAGACCAAAACCTGGTTTGTTACTGAGGGAGAAAAAGTAGTGCTCACACTGGGATCCACATTTTTTCTTCTTTATTTCCTTTCTTGGTCTTTCATCGACTCCTTTGTCGTATCATCCCTACATTACAGCCAAAATAGTTATTCTCGCCCTAGCCGGTTTGGCTCAGCGGTTAGAGCATTGGCCTGCAGTCCAGAGAGACCCAGGTTCAGTTCCCGCCAAGGGCATGTACCTCGGTTGCAGTTTGTCCCCGGCCCTGGTTGGGTTGTGCGGGTGGCAGCCACTCGATGTGTCCCTTTCACGTCGATGTTTCTCTCTCTCTTCCTCCTGCTCTATCTGAACAAAGAATGGAAAAATATCCTCGAGTGAGGATTAAAAAAAAAAAAAAGTTATTCTCAGTACCTCTTTTCAGTCATACTCAGTACCTTTTTAATCTCCCTGCATATGATTCTTTGTCTAATATGGATATGCATTTTAAACTGATAAGAACAGATATTACACTTGATCTTAGCCAAAAGGCCGAGAAGCGATTGTGTATGCATTTTAATTTTTGAAATCTTAACTATCCTTCAAGGTCCATTTCATAAGTCACCGCCTTTCCTGATTCCCTCCAACACACTTCATCTCTCCCTACTTTGAACACTCATAACATAACCATGATATTCTGTGATTTGTCTTATTGTCTTATTATGTGGACATTTATTAAGAACAGAAATTGTAATCAATTTGATTTTTAAAGCCCTGTAGTTTGAAACACAGTCTCTTGAGAAAACTATATGGGGGAGTTTTAATAAACCACTATCTTGTTAAATTCTCACAATCCTTATAAACTAGACATCTCCATTTAAAAAAAGGTTGGTTAAGCAACTTGCTATAGATCACATAGATAATAATTGGAAAAACTAGAACTTGAACCCAGATCGAAAGCTTATGCTGGTTCTGCTATACTTCACTGCTTCAATATGAGACCTTTATTCATATCTTTTTACCAGTAACTTTTGGAATGCCCCTTATGTGAAATGCACCATAGCTGACACAGAGATAATAGCACCAAACATGACAATCATGAAAACTACCTTTATGAACCATACATCCTTTCATTAAATATTTGTTGAATTGATTACAGTGAAAGGTGTTTTCAAAGTGAAGGAGACTGAGGTGAACTAACCAAATATTTCAATATTCTATTATCAATCTTATCCAAAGGAAGAAGAAAAGACAGGAAGAAAGAAAAGAAAGACCTGTAAGTACTAAGAGACTAAAAACTTTGTCATAATTTTAATGTTCCTAGAAGTCTAAAGGGCAGATATCTCAGAATTAGAGTTACAGATTATACAAATGCTTACTAATATAAATTCAAATGAAGATTATGAAGGTGTTTCCACAAAGGCTTTAGACCAAGATTTGGAAACTTTTATTCCTAAACTGCTGAATTGAGAACTCCAATGAGCATATATTAGTTTAAAAGCAAGCAATAGAGAAACTCTAATTGTCTGGCTTTTATGTTTTGTTTTTATTGATTTTAGAGAGAAAGAAACAAAAAGAGAGAGGGAGAGAAAGGGAGGGGGGGAGGGAGGGAAGAAGGAGAAGGGGGGGGGGGCAGAGAGACCAGTCAGTGACTGGAGTAATTTGCACTAATGGGCAAGCCTCAGTAAGGTTTTGGGTATTGATCACTGATTACCTTGAGGTTTGGGCTCTACCTGACTGCAATCCTCCCATCCCCTTCTTTTCTAATCCTCACTGGAGGATATTTTTCTATTTATCTTCAGATAGAGTGGGAGGGAGGGAGCGAGAAACATGAAGTGGGAGGGATACACCGACTGGTTGCCTCCCCCACCACCCGACCAGAGCCTGGGAGGAACTGCAACCCAGGTACAGGCCCTTGACCGGAATCCAACCGAGTCGCTGGCGGGTGCTGTAATAGCTGAGCCAAACCGGCTAGGGCCATTTCCCCTTTTCGTATCCCCACCCCTTTTTTTTTTTCAGGGCCACCTCCACTTCCCTCCATCTCTCTCCTCTAAGTAAGTGAGCTTTCTATCCTCAACCTGACCTACATTTATCTTCACACTTCACTTCTCATAGTACTCTCACTGACAGGATGGCACAGGTCAGGTCCTGGGTTGTAGAATCCTCACTCCGCCCGTCCTCGCCTGGGCAGCTTCGAGGTTTGCGCCCCCATGGCTCTTTGACCAATAGGCAGGCCCTAGTGCTGGAACTCGACTCGCCATTGGTTGGCCGAACCATGGTGAGAGATGGTGCGGTGCCCGTTCTCGGCAGGGTGAGAGCTGTGAGCGGTTGTTAAGGCGACAGTTCGTGACGTAGCGCCACCAGGCCGTGCAGCCCCCAGATGATTGGCTAGGCGATCGGACGATCCTTTCTCATTGGTCGCAGGCTCGGCCGGCTCCGAGCGTGCGCAAGCTGAAGGTTCCTTCCGCGCCGCGTCTCCGTTGACTGGAGACAGGGGGAGCGCCGGCGCCGGGGTTCGGTGACCTCTAGTGAGATCAGGAGGTGAGGCGGGTGGTGGCCGCGAAGGGGAACCGGGGCGGCAGGGAGCGGGGCAACGGTGGGTGGGAGCGGGATTCAAGCCGTGTTGGTGGCGGTTCTCGAGCTCCGCTAGGCCTTGGGAAGGGGCAGGCGGCATCCGCTGCGGACCTGGAGGGAGCTGCGGTGGTGGCTTTGCGGGTGTGGCAGCCCTGTCCGCGGGGACTTAGATTAGACGTCCTTCAGGCGCGGCCGGCGGAGTGGCGGTCGACACTAATGCTGGGGGAGCCTGGGAGCCAGGCTGGGCCCGAGCGGCGGGCGGCGAGGCAGAGCAGCGTTTGATCGAGGCAGTGCTGGCTGAGCTGTCACGATCATCGGGGCGGAAAGGGCGCCAGGAGGGTGACCTTGGAGGCCCCTGGATTCGAGAAATGCTGGGGGTCTGGGGGTTGGCCAAGCCCACCGCGCGCGGAGAGCAACGGAGAAAGTCCATCCGGTCAGGCGTCCACGCCGGGGCGGTGCTGTTCGTCAGCACCTTCGTGATGTGGAAGATCTCTGTAAATGATGCGACTAACTCAGAGTCATGAAAAAACCGTGTTTCGGCATAGATGTGTTCGGTTATTGTCAGGAGAAAAGAGTTGAAAGGATACGGAGCCCAAGGATTTAAAGGATTTTCTTATTGTGTGTGTGACAGAGAGCGAGAGCGAGTGTGTAAGGGGCGTAGTCTCCTTGGTGCTGTTGTCCTTTAGTCCAAACCTTTAGGTTTTTCGGAATTATTTAGTTTTAGTTAGGAAAAACCTACCTTGGAGGTTCAAATATCGAGCAGTCAGATTTTACGGTAGAAGGTTTATGTGTACTCCATCTTAAATAGCCTATGGAAATACTTCAGGGCTTGAAGACGTGTCTTAGATTTGGTGCTGAAAAGTAACAGGAAACATTTGTTTCTGGGCCATGCTAAATAACCGTGCATAATGTCAGCATCTCACAATGTAGAAAATGTATTTTTTGTTTGCTTGTGAACTTATTTTTCACTCCGTGCAATGAAAGACATTTTATGATTTAGAGGCGATGTAGCAAAGGCCTGGGGGGTACATTGGGGATGAATAGATTGGATTTTAAGGACCTGCTTTGTTGTGGTGTCTTTCCAGAATATGATAAATATGATAAATGGGAGTTAGTAACATGAAGGTTTAAAGTAATTGTGCAAGAGATTACATCATTAACATGAAAACTCATGTATGACCGATCATTTCAAGATACAGTGTGTGTGTCCTCAGAGAGTGTGTGTGTGTGGGTGTATATCCTCGTTTTATTCTTGTGTGATCTAGTTTATAGACCCTGGATAATCACATATATAGAGTGGGGCAAAGTAGGTTTACAGTTTTGAGTAGGCGAAACAGAGCTTATTCTTGTATTATTATTTATTAATTGTTTTTTCCCATACAAACAACTGTATGTTGATATTCTTTTAGGTTGACCCATCTGAAATTGCTGATATTTGAATTTTGACTCTTTTTTACCTACAAAAATAGAAGTTTCATATAGTTCCACTTAATACTTTGTCAAAACTGTGGAGCTCTAGCTTTGTAAGTGAATAAAGAGGAATGTGAATTACAAACAGGTAGCATATGATAGAATTGGGTGTATAATCAAGGTTTCCTGATTTCCAGTGCAAGAAATTATTTTTTCCCTAGAATACTAGGTTGAACAACAGAATGCTAGATCCTGTTGGAATTCAAAATGGCTCAGTATAAGACAAGGTACTTGCTTTCAAATAAACAAAACGTACATAGCAATTAATTTGCTAGCAATGTAGGTTAGTCTATAATATTGGAATGTATAGCACAGGAGGAGTGCTAAGTGGGAGGAAGGAATTAGAATAGGATGCCAAAGCATCCTTTTCTGCAGTTGGCCATGGTGGTTGGTTTCTGTAACATGTTGGATTAGAGTTTGAAGATTCCATTGAATTTAAATTTATCTATTCTTTTGAAAAATCTTGTGAAACGTTTGCATCACACTTCAGTCTGAATAAGCAAGGCATACATTGCCTAGTTAACTTGATTTTTAAAGTAAAATTTTATTTTTATTGCAGCATGACATAAATACTGCGTATTGAATTTGCATGAACTGACCTGTAGCCTGCTGGTGCCACTTGCAACTGCTGATGAAGGTGTAAGATTGGATTCCAAGGCATTTACGTGCTTTGCATAATAACAGAGAAATGGGAGAGGATGCTCATGAGAAATGAGTTTACAATTATGGTTACTTTTGACACACCTTTGTACATTCCATTACTCAGTCTGTATTTCCACATAGGTTTTCTGTTTGGGTATGGTTCACAGGATCATGTGTAATTCTTTTCCTGAATGTTGCAAAGGTGACTTTACACCCAGGAAAGAAATGTCACAGAATTGACAATGCTACCATGGAATCTTTTTGAGGGGAAAATATAATGTGCCTAATATGTAATTATAGGTTAATAATGTTAAATCAATTTGTGATCAGATTGGGGTGACTTCCTGCTAGTAATTCAGATTTTAATTCAATTGAATTAACTTTTTAAAAAATTTTTATTTTTTATGTTTTTATTGATTTGATTTTATTTGTTTATTTTTTAATTTTTTTTATCCTCGCCTGAGGACATTTTTTTCATTTTTTGTTCAGATAGAGTGGGAGGGAGAGAGGGAGGGAGGGAGAGAGAGAGAGAGAGAGAGAGAGAGAGAGAGAGAGAGAGAGAGGAAACATCGATGTGAAAGGGACGTATCAAGTGGTTGCCACCCGCATGACCCAACTAGGGCTGGGGACAAACTGCAACCAAGGTACGTGCCCTTAGTGGGAACTGAACCCGGGTCTTTCTGGACCACAGGCCGACGCTCTAACTGCTGAGCAAACCGGCCAGGTCTTTATTTTTTTAGAGAGAGGAAGGGCGAGAGAGATAGAAACATTGATGTGTGAGAGAAACAATCCTACTGGGGATGGAGCTCACAACCCCCATATGTGCCCTGACCAGAAATCACGTTGAGACCTCTCAGTCCATGTGATGATGCTCAGTCCACTGAGCCACCCTAACTGGCTGGGCTGAATTAACTTTTTAATAGTGAAGGATATGTTGACTTGATAGGATTAACCTAAATTGAGGGGTTTTGGGAAAGGAAGTGTTACAGATCATTTTAACCTAGTTTTGACTCCACTTGATTCTTTAGACTGGTTTGTAGGTTGGTTGGTTGGTTGGTTGGTTGGTTTTTTAATATCAGAAAAAAGTAATTAGATAGAAGACCATCATGAAAAGCTAGTTTCTTGTGAGACTTTTGGTTGTAATGAAGTAGGGTTGTAATGAAGTAGATATGATTAATACTCTCCATACTTTAAGGCCAACTTCCTGCTAATTTAATAGAAAGTATTTTTGTTATTGTTGATTTTCCAGAATAGTATGTAAAATGTAGCCTCAACTCCCCACCTCATCTCCCTTTCATATATTCCCTGAATGCTCCACATTCAGCCTTTAACTGGGGGCCCAGGGTTGGGTGGTGTTATATTCTTATCTTGATGACTTAAAAAATGTAATCTTGCCCTGGCTGGTTTTGCTCAGCGGTTAGAGCGTTGGCCTGCGGTCCAGAGAGTCTGCCTGTGGTCCAGAGAGACCCGAGTTCGGTTCCCACTAAGGGCATGTACCTCGGTTGCAGTTTGTCCCTGGCCCTGGTTGGTCGGGCAGGTGGCAGCCACTCGATGTGTCTTTCACATCGATGTTTCTCTTTCTCTCCCTCCCACTCTATCTGAACAACAACAACAACAAAATGTAATCTTTGGGTCTGTTTCAAGATGTGTCAATAAAATGTGGGCTACTATAGCTTAGAATTTGTTTTTAATTAAACAGGTATTTGTTGAGCAACTGCTATATATGAGTGCGAGAGCTGAGGATAAAATAAGTAGGACTCAGGGGGAAGGTTGAAAAAGCATGAATAAACACAGGCAGATGTATGGCACATTTATATATCTTAGTGACTGCCAGCTGTTTAAAATGGAGACCCACAGTGTGAAATACAGGTTATGTTGGAGGCTAGTAGCAACTCCTGTATGTATAGTTTCACGAAACAGAAATTTTCAAGAAGTAATACCTACCCATACTACATTTCTTACCCACAGCTATTTTTTTCTACTTTATTTTACTTAAAAAATGTTTTATTCTGACTCATAATTGATTCCCTAATCTAATTGATTCAGTGACTTGTACTTTGAAAACCAGATATCTAGCCATTGGTCTTGTATGGTTGAAATGTAAAGAGCATAGAGGAATGCAGTGAGAGATGATTGCTCTGGTTTCTTTAGGTACATTTGGTCTCTTTAGACAGATTAATGCTTTCTTAACTTAATTTGTTGCCTTTTATTTTCTGTCTTCAATGAAAGAATCACTTTCTTAATTATTATCATAAATGTGAGATTCATCTGAATTTTTGCTAGTGTGCTAGTGTTTCAGTTAGCTTATTTTTTAAAATCTTAATTTTAATTGACTTTTAATGGTAGTTGATATACTATATCATAAGCATTAATTTTAGAGTAAGAAGTAAGACTTGTGAGTTCCTATATTAGAGATCAATGACTGTATTAGTTTTGTTTTTTAAACAGAATATAAAAATTATTATTATTTAGCTGGCAAACATGGGGAAGTTTAGTCATGGTAGTGGTAGATCAAAATTACCTGTATGTTCTGTGGGGAATTTTTTAAGCTGTAGACACCTACTTTGGTCAGCCATCTCTCTTCTAGTAATGTAGCATTTTGATAAGCTGTAAAAATTTGGGGAAAGACTTTTCTCTGGTGATGGCAACATTAGGAAGGTTTATTAAACGTCATTTGGCTAGTGACATGTCATATGATGGAGAGAATATTAAAGTGTAATGGGCCCCTCCCTTGAGGAGCTTTATAAACTAAGATCATTTACAGAAGGCCACTCAAGGAGTAGATTCTTTGTATCTATCTTTTGTATAACCAGAATGTGGAGAATGAAGAGGGTGCTTATATGCATTTTACATCAGGGTAATTAGAAGATAAATGTGTCTAGTTGTTTCTCACTTTTGTGTGTGTTTTATTGCTCTCCTCTTTGGTTCAGATATTATCAAGGGCTGAGATATTTATTTGGTTTGATCTTAAATGCCTAATTACACAGAATTTATAAGAAATAGTTGCTTTTAAGTTAGTTGCTAGTGAATAATAAAGGATGTGTTATGAGTAAAGAAGCAATAACAGAGTCATCTTATTTTGATTGTACAATTATTTTTCAGAATGAAAAGGAGCACTATCAAATACTGGTATTATTCATATGCACAAGACACTATGCATGCAATAGCAGGATTTACAAATTCTTTTCCTAAAAATACAGTGAGCTGCATACTAATTTTTCATACTTGATATTCCTTCCAGGATCCAAGTATTCTATAGCTACAATGTTGTCAAGACTTTTCCGAATGCATGGCCTCTTTGTGGCCTCCCATCCCTGGGAAGTCATAGTGGGGACAGTGACACTGACCATCTGTATGATGTCCATGAACATGTTTACTGGCAACAATAAGATCTGTGGTTGGAATTATGAGTGTCCAAAGTTTGAAGAGGTTTGTGAAATTAATTTGATACTGGCTCAAGAAAATGACATTTTCAACTTCTAAAGAGTATCTCCTTTGAGAGACTATATCATCAAAAAAGTTATGAGTAAAATATTTTACTATTTATGAACTTACCTCACATTTTCATTTACTTATGAAGTATGAAAATACACTGAAAACACTCTTTTGCCTTTCTCCAACACAAAAGAGTGTAATTGGTTCTACTTGAGAAACATAGCTTTTGTAACTAACAGTGAGTGATTGGTTTAAACAGTGGAATGTTTAAAATTGGATTTAACTTTTTATTTGCATATTTAATATTTTTATTTTAGTTGTACCTACATTTATATTATTGTAATATGTAAACTAATGATGCATACAGAATAAAAATTCTTATTTTTGAATGCTATTTTAAAAGCTATAGCTATTGTGATTTTTTTTTTTCTGTTTCTCCCAATAGGATGTTTTGAGCAGTGACATTATAATTCTGACAATAACAAGATGCATAGCAATCCTGTATATTTATTTCCAGTTCCAGAATTTACGTCAACTTGGATCAAAATATATTTTAGGTAATAATTTAACTTCTTTGTGTGCCATCAGATTTTTTTATTTGCTGTGAAAATGTACCTGTTTGTACAAATTATGTATATGGAAATGTATATGTTGCTTAAAGTGTGCTGCATGCATTTAATAGTTTATTTTATTATTGGGAGTTAGACTTTCTGATATTTGAGACCTTGTTAATCTAGAGAAAATGATACTTATTTCAGAATATTGATAGGACTATATGTTGTTATTTGTGTAATAAAGGATGAAATTTTTCAGTTTGTTGAATTTTGTCATTTTAGGTATTGCTGGCCTCTTCACAATTTTCTCAAGTTTTGTATTCAGTACAGTTGTCATTCATTTCTTAGATAAAGAATTGACAGGTTTGAAGTAAGTATTTACAGCATAAATATACTGTTTTCAAAATACTATTTTTATATTTTATATTTTTTCAAAATATAGTAAGAACTTCTAAAGTTTTAATTTTCAGAAGTTTTAGAAGATACAAGGAAAGTTTCATGTAATCATTTAGCTATTTTTAAAACCTGTTAACATTTTGCTATATATCCTTCACCACTTTTTTTATACTTAAAGAAAACTTCCGAGATCATACTATATATACTGCTTTATAATTTCTTTATGCCTAATAATAGTCTATCAACATCTTTGCATGTTCTTTTTTTTTTTTTTTTTATCTTCACCTGAGGACATTTCTCCAATTTTTTTTTTTTTTTGGTACAGATAGAGTGGGAGGGAGGGAGGGAGGGAGGGAGAGGGAGGGAGAGAGAGAGAGAGAGAGAGAGAGAGAGAGAGAGAGAGAGAGAGAGAGAGAAACATCGACGTGAAAGGGACACATCGAGTGGCTGCCACCCGCACGACCAACCAGGGCCGGGGACAAACTGCAACCAAAGTACGTGCCCTTAGTGGGAACCGAACCCGGGTCTCTCCGGACCACAGGCCGACGCTCTAACCGCTGAGCCAAACTGGCCAGGGCTCTTTGCATGTTCTTAATGCTAAACTAAATTCTTTTTAGTGGCCCTCTAGTATTTCTCTGTATAAATACATTGTAGTTTATTTATTTAATCTATATGGTTGGATTGTTAGGTTATTTAATTTCCTTCATTAATAACAATACTATGCTGAATGTCTTTGTAGCTGAATTTTTGTTCATATTCAGTCACTTTCTTAGGATACAATAGGAATGAGATAGTGGCCATGTAAGTTTTAAGGACTTTTGAGTGCCATTTTTTGCCAGTTTACTCTATGGTAAGGTTGTTTAGTTTATCCTTCCACAAGTAATGATAAATGAAAGAAAATTGTATGTTCTATGTTTTTCCCCATGCTACTTCAAGGAGATTGTTTACTAAGGATGATATTTTGATATAAAATTTTAATAAATGTTTTGAGCCCTGGCCAGTTTGGCTCAGCTGTTAGAGCATCAGCCTGAGGACCAGAGAGTCCTGGGTTCAGTTCCCACTAAGGGCACGTACTTCAGTTGCAGTTTATCCCCAGCCCTGGTTGGGGTTGTGTGAGTGGCGACCACTCGATGTGTCTCTCTCATATCGATGTTTCTCCTTCTCTCTTCACCCCTCTCTCTCCCACTCTATCTGAAGATAAATGCAAAAAATGTCCTCGAGTGAGGATAATTAATAAATAAATAAATAAATAAATAAATAAATATTTTGAATAACTAAAATGTTTAACTTTGAGGATGTCAAAGGAGTATAGGGTATATATCTTTTTATTTTTTATTTTATTTATTTATTTTTATCCTCACCCGAGGACATTTTTCCATTTTTTGTACAGATAGAGTGGGAGGGAGAGAGAGAGAGAAACATCGACGTGAAGGGACACATCGAGTGGCTGCCACCCGCACGACCAACCAGGGCCGGGGACAAACTGCAACCGAAGTACGTGCCCTTAGCGGGAACCGAACCCGGGTCTCTCTGGACCGCAGGCCGACGCTCTAACCGCTGAGCCAAACTGGCCAGGGCTAGGGTATATATCTTTTGATCTGCAAAAAGGGACACTGGATAATACAATGTAAAGTGGGGGGGGGGGGGTAGAAAGGATTGTTTAAGCTTTATTTTTTTCTCTGTTAAATGTACGTCATCATCTTGTTTTTTTCCCAGTGAAGCTTTGCCCTTTTTCCTACTTTTGATTGACCTTTCCAGAGCAAGTGCACTAGCAAAGTTTGCCCTCAGTTCCAACTCACAGGTAAGTATTATTTATAAGACATAAATTTTAATAGTATTTCTTCTTTTTTTTTTCAACTTGTTTACATTAATAAGAAGGATTAACAGAATTTCTTCATAGTCCACGATTTAGGAATTGCCTATAATTGTAAGTTTAATTATCAAGTCCTAAGACTGGTCTTCCTAAGTGCCTTAGGAACGGTTTCCTTTATCTAACGGTCCAAACTATAATTTTATAGCTTCTGGAATTTGGAATCTTTCCCATTTCCCTTTTTGAAATTTTCAGAAATTAAGGTTATATTTTAGACTTTTGGGTAAATAAGAGTATCTACCTAGTGAAATACAGGATAGATCTAATGGAAGAGCGTCTCGTAGTAGATTTATTTCTAAACCCTTTGAAAACACTAGCTTTATTTTCCACCTACAGTTTTATGTTGGTGTTCACTAGTCAGTTTAAGAATTGAACATTTTTGCCCTGGCCAGTTTGGCTCAGCGGTTAGAGCATTGGCCTACAGTCCAGAGAGACCCGGGTTCGGTTCCTGCTAAGGGCGCATACCTTGGTTGCAGTTTGTCCCCAGCCCTGGTTGGTTGTGCGGGTGGCAACCATTTGATGTGTCCCTTTCATGTCGATGTTTCTCTCTCTCTCCCTCTCTCTCCCTCTCTCTCCCTCCCTCTCCCTCTCTCTCTCTTCCTCTCTCTCCCTCCCACTCTATCTAAACAAAAAAATGGAAAAATGTCCTCGGGTGAGGATTAAAAAAAAGGAATTGAACATTTTTAATAGTCTTTCATCAGAGTATCTGAGTATTAAAGAGTATATACTAAAAAAAAGCATGTACTTCTGCCTTGATTATGTATTTGATGAATAGTTATGATCATTTGAGCCAAGGATATGATTTGACAATGATATGATTTAGGTTTCATGACACTAAGATGGTCTCAAAAATTTTGCAGTGAAGAACTTCTATCAGTAGCCAAAATATAAACTGTTGTAAAATTTAATTATGTGGGGTTTAAATGGCAGGATTAATGCATCACCTCACAGGAATCTTTCCAAGAAATACCTTGTTCAGTAGAAAGGGAAGTCAGGGAACTGTGTATGTTTGTTGGTTCTTTAATCCACTGAACTATTAGTGTATTTTGCATTTAGAAAGCCTGTTAGTCTTGTCCTAGTGTATATTTTATTCTTTGCAAAATAAGTTAGATTTTAGTGGAAGCCCTATGCACTCTAACATTTTTAAAAGTTATTTTGTGCCTTATCCTCATTGATAATGTTTGGTCTGTGTTTTAGGATGAAGTAAGGGAAAATATTGCTCGTGGAATGGCAATTTTAGGCCCCACGTTCACCCTTGATGCTCTTGTAGAATGTCTTGTGATTGGAGTTGGTACCATGTCAGGTTTGTAAGCAATTTTTAATATAGTTTAAAATAAGTTTGCAATAAAGACAAAAGAAAGAACATCTTAGATTGCATTGGTTATTTTTAAATCCTGACTTTTAAAAGTCTGATATTACTCTTAAAATTTTTTGATTGTATGAGTATGTGGGTCTATCTGACCTTTGTTACTTTTAATATAAACTTAGTAGCAGGTTACTGATTAATTTTTCACTCTTGCCATCTTTTTCAGTGCACCACTTTTTGGATGACTTTGTCTGTGGTTTTTGTTTGTGTTTTATTTGGTTTTGTAAGGTTGTATTCCAAGGCTTTTCCGGAAAGCACCTTCCAGACCCTGCTATTGTCTATACTAAATTAGTGACTTGGTTCCTTGTGTTTTACTGTCATGTAGAGATAGTGCAAGAGTCAGGAATTGTGGCCCTGGCTGGATATCTCCATTGGTTAGAGTGTTGTCCCCATACACCAAAGTTGTGGGTTCGATCCCAGTTCAGGGCACACACAAGAAGCAACCAATGAATGCATAAATAAGTGGAACAACAAATTGATGTTTCTCTCACTCTCAAATCAATCAATAAGTAAAAAATATTTAAAAAGAGTCAGGAGTTAGATAGAACTAAGTTAGATTCTCCTAATAGGATGGTAAGAAGATTTAATCAGATAATATGTAGTATATCCTCAGCTGGACAGGAGAGAATTAGATGTTAAATATCAAATACAGGACTCCGTTATAAAGGACAAAAATTATGGTCTGGCAGAGAAATTTGCCAGAATGAATATATCATGCTGTTGTGGAGGTTTCCTAATCATTAGAACTAGATTTAATGGCTTCTTCATGAAGACCACACATAGTTAACTACTGTTCTTGTATATTTTCTGGGGCCTTCGTGCCCTTAATAGGGGCTTCATTCTTTCAGAAGTAAATTAGATCTAAGTTTTAAGAGAGCAGTTAGTTGTCATTATTAGTTGAGGTCTCTTTACTAGGTAGTATATTAAAAAGAAAATGTTTCTTAAAACTTTCTGGGGGTCAATTTTGTTCATTTATTTAATCTGTTATTCAACAAAATTTTATTTAGCAAAGAAGGTATTTTTTGAATAATTTTTTTAAATGTATGTTCTTTAAAATCTCTTTTTGCATAAAGTTCTGAGTTTTGACAAAGACATGGTCATGTAACCACCATGACAGTCAAGAAAAATGTTTTTGATTAGGTGAAAAATCATACCTATGTGATTTTATTCAAGCATGTAAAGAAATGAAGAGGATCAGCCAGAAATTAGTAGTAGGCCATGAAACCAAGGATTCAACACATATTAACTAGGAAGTAACCTTTTGGAAAGCCTGTAAAAAAAGAAAAAGAATACATAGATTAGTGCTCTTTCTTTGGTAGCAGAGTGGTTCAAAGAAGCCTGGGGACAGAGTCAAGAATAATGCCGGAGAACATACGGCAACAGTAGTTACTGTTGTACAGAGGGAAATAGTAGATTGCCAAGTTGTAAAAAGCTTTGGTTAAGTGTAGTTTCCATGGTCTCAAGTTTGAAAAGGTTATATTTGACCGCTATTTAAAATGTAGGTTGTTTATAATGCTTTTGTTATTGTCATTTTGTATTTTCTTAGATTTCCATATTTGGGAGTAACTGCTATAGAATTTTTAAAAAATACAGTGTATACTCTTGTTCTATTATTTAGTCAAATGATTTATTACAATTTAGAAAATAAAATAAAATGGAATGTTTTGTATTATTCTAGTTAGCAGTTTTTATATAAAAGGGGAATCATTTTTATTTATATTTTAAAACATTTAATATGAGTGACATCAGAAATATGTTTTATATTCAAGTTTATTTGGAAAATGAGGGAGTAGGTTTTGGTTATCTAAAGTCTATTCCAGTTCTATAATTCTATTACCTTCTATTCAAGAAGATTACTAAATAATATCTTAAACATTTTGTAGTGGAACCATTGTTGATTTTGAATCTTGGGTTGTCTTTTTGCATTATATCATTTTCAAACAGAGCAATGAAGTTAACCAAGAGTATAAGACCATCACTAGATACCACAGAGATTAGATTGAAATTAGAGTTCAGTAGTACACATAAAATATTTATTATGATACTGTATCAGGAATCGAATAACTGGCAGCATGTTGTACTTTTATAAAAAGTCCTTGGTCCACAGATGAATTGCTTTTATGTCAACGAGTAGAATTGGACCAGTAGTATAACACTAGAGGGTTTTCTCCATTAGATAGATATCCTTATCTTAAAACAGTATTTTTAAAAAGGGAATGATCAAATGTATATTAAATGCTACCATAATGCCTGGCATTGTGATTCCACGGACACGGGAGAAGACAGTTATTCCTCTGTGTTCTCAGGCTTGGCATTACCTCTGAGTTGCTAATTCTGTTTCCGGTAGATAACAAAGAAATTAATATACTAACATTTTCATGTGATTGTCTACCTATGGGAAGAATCCTTGTGATGTAGACAGCATCAAAAATGTACATTCTTTATTAATTGTACATTTAATTTTTTTTATCTTTCTAGGGGTGCGTCAACTTGAAATTATGTGCTGCTTTGGCTGCATGTCAGTTCTTGCCAACTACTTTGTGTTCATGACTTTCTTCCCAGCTTGTGTGTCTTTGGTTTTAGAGGTAACTACAATTCTTACTATGGCATTAGGAGATGAGTAATATTTTTCATATCAGGTCACCTAAATAGAATCAGTACCTTCTAATGTAACACTGACTTACTTTGTAGCTTTCTCGGGAAAGCCGCGAGGGTCGTCCAATTTGGCAGCTCAGCCATTTTGCCCGAGTTCTAGAAGAAGAAGAAAATAAACCGAATCCTGTTACTCAGAGGGTTAAGATGATTATGGTAATTACATAACTTTCTTCTCCCTTCAGTGTCTTCTGTTCCAATGTCATATTCTGCTTTTCAGTTTTGTTTTTCTTCTTTTGTCATCTTTCTATAATTTTTGGCTCTTTCACTGGTGTTCCTTTTCTCTTTTCTTCTTAAGTTGTTTCTCATTTCTTAGAGGCTCCTGGTCTTTCTCACCATCTCCCCTAAACAGACTTTTCAAGTTCCTCCACTTTATCTCTCTCTGCAAACTTGTTCTTTGGAATGTGTTCAGTAGTTCAATGAGGCCAGTACTTTAGTTAGTCATGTAGCAAGCTTGGGGCTTCCTGCTCATGTAAGAGGAGGCCAACGAAGATAGTGTCTGGTTATTCAGTTGCTAAGGATGAGAAGTTTAGGTTTCACTGATATGCAGAAGATACATAATTTAAAATTTTTTTTATTTCAGTCTCTAGGCTTGGTTCTTGTTCATGCTCACAGTCGCTGGATAGCCGATCCTTCTCCTCAAAACAGTACGGCAGAAAATTCTAAGGTTTCTTTAGGATTGGATGAAAATGTGTCCAAGAGAATTGAACCAAGTGTTTCCCTCTGGCAGTTTTATCTCTCTAAGTAAGTTATCTGAGACCTACTTTGTTGTATATTAATCATGGTACTCTGCTGCTAACAGTTTAGGTTGTGCCTTTTATATTTTTGAGTTATAACACTTTAATTTGCTTTCTTTTATTTAGAATGATCAGCATGGATATTGAACAAGTTATTACCTTAAGTTTAGCTCTCCTTCTGGCTGTCAAGTACATCTTCTTTGAACAAGCAGAAACAGAATCTACACTTTCATTGAAAAACCCCATCACATCTCCGGTAGTGATTCAAAAGAGAGTCCCAGATGATTGCTGTAGACGGGACCCTATAGTAGTCAGAAATAACCAGAAATGCCATGCAGTGGAGGAGGAGGCAAGCACAAACAGAGAAAGAAAAGGTGATTTCTTATTCTCTTTTTTCCCCCATTCTTAATATGCTGAGTTTTCAAGAAATTGAGCCAGTTTTAAAATTTATGTCAGTGTTGTGAAATTTCTTTTGATCTCTTGAACAGTTGAGGTTATAAAACCCTTAGTGGCAGAAACTGACACCTCAAACAGAGCTACGTTTATGGTTGGTAATTCCTCCTTACTCAGTACTTCACTGGAACTAGAGATGCGGGAACCTGAAATCGAACTTCCCAAGGAACCTCGGCCTAATGAAGAATGTCTACAGATACTTGGGAATGCAGAGGTGAGGAAAATAAAATAAACTCAAGCTTGGTGGCTTTCTTAAAAAAAAGGAGCTTTTTTTAGTAAAGGAAAGAAGTTATAGCAACTGAGTACCTACTAAGTTCTAGGCACTGTGTTCGTAGTTTACAGGTGGTAATTTATTCCCTATAACCTTGTGAGATAGGTGGAATTATCCTTATTTTTTAGATGAGCAAGCTGAGACTCCAGGAGGTATAAGTGTTTCCTAAAGTAATACATCTAAGAAATGGTAAAACTGGGATCAAGGGTCCAAGATTTACTGGCTCTTTCTATTTTATTACTGTTTTACCATAGAGATGAACAACGACTGTATTCTCATGTGTATATTGAGGCCTAGAAAAGGTTTAACATAAAAATGAGCCTCAAAGATAGAATGTTTTTTATTTTTTGTTTTTAAAGTAAGCTTAATGCTCATGAGGAAAGTATTTTCCTTTCTGAGATCTGAACAGGGTTTCTGCCTACACAACCATGAGTCCACTCGAGATGCTTTAGTGCGGTATTGTGTTCTATCCATACCTGCTTAATCTGGTTCATTCTTAATTTATGTACATCTGAGTGAGAATTATGTTTGTTTTCTTTATCACTTTCCTTTCTCTCATTCCCATTAAAGTGTACCAGTATCTCAGCTGACTTGCTATACAAGGTTGGCAAAACCTATAGGGTGGGTGTCAGAATTTTAATCATGGATTTTTTTCCTGTGGACCTTACTAGTAAAGTTTAGCGTTTTGGTCTTACATTTGTTTAATTGCCACATGTTTATGAAGAATTTGCTTTCATTTGATATTCTTATTTGTTCCTTTTTCTTTATTAGAGAGAGAGAGGAAGAGAGAGAGAGAAACATCGATGTGGAAAACATCCATCGGCTGCCTCCTGCATGCCCCTTGCTGGGGATTGAGCTAACAACCCAGGCATGTGTCCTGATCGGGAATCGAACCAGGACAACTCAGTCCATGGGATGAAGCTCAATAATCTACTGAGCCACACCAGCCAGGCCTTATTTGTTCTTAAATCATCTTCTTCAGAATTCCAAAGTCCTTTAGGTCTCCTCTTAATTCTATTTTAGTTCTATTGAGAGCATTATTTGTATTAAATGGTTTATTTAGTATGAATAACATGAAATACAGTTCTTCAAAGTCTTGTCATCTCGCTCCCTCAACCCCTACCACTTTTTTCATTTCTTTAGAAAGGTGCAAAATTCCTTAGTGATGCTGAGATCATCCAATTAGTCAATGCTAAGCATATCCCAGCTTACAAATTGGAAACTCTGATGGAAAACCATGAACGCGGTGTATCTATTCGTCGACAGTTACTCTCCAAAAAACTTCCAGAGCCTTCTTCTCTTCAGTATCTACCTTACAGGGACTATAATTACTCCTTGGTATGTTATTTTCTTTATTTGAAAAAAGGTTTGCTTTGTAACTTCCTAGTCTTCTAAACTTTTTAGCTTTTTTTTTTTCCACTGGTCTTTTATATGTATATAGTTTTATAAAATATTTTCCTTTTTAAGCCATTTTACTGTAATTTTGTATTCTGCTTCTGTATAGGTCATAGAAATTCAAAATATTCTTCCTATTGCTTATAGTCATTACTCAAATATTTTAGTGTCTTAAATTCTTTTCATAAAGAGTAAAAATAAAATTTTGTTGAAAAATACACTAAAGGGTTAAGTTGAAGAAAGTTATTAATGACAAGAGCTGTGTATTTGCAATACAGATTTTCACTAGGTGTCTAACTTTACCTTTTAGGTGATGGGAGCTTGTTGTGAGAATGTTATTGGATATATGCCCATCCCTGTTGGAGTGGTGGGACCTCTGTGCTTGGATGGAAAAGAATTTCAGGTTCCAATGGCAACAACAGAAGGCTGTCTTGTGGCCAGCACTAACAGAGGCTGTAGAGCAATAGGTGTAAGTTGGCACTGATATATTTGCCTGTTGTAAGACACACTCTAGGCCAGGCGATGGGAGGAGATTGGGGACAATCAGGTACACCTTTTGGGATAAGCAGAACTGTTTTCAGAATTAATATGTGCTTCTGTAACATCCTTTGCATAGCTTGGTGGGGGAGCCAGTAGCCGAGTCCTAGCAGATGGGATGACGCGTGGCCCAGTGGTACGTCTTCCCTGTGCTTCTGACTCTGCAGAAGTGAAGGCCTGGCTTGAGACACCAGAAGGGTTCACAGTGATAAAGGAAGCGTTCGACAGCACCAGCAGGTGTGTGTGTTGGGTGGGTGGGGGTTATACATCCATCTATATTTACTTCAGAACCAGTACTGTCTTCTTTGATCACTAAACATAACTGTTAACATATTGCCAGCTTGAAATGATGTAAAATAGCAACATTAAATCCATTCATTCAAAATTAGTAATATTAATGCTTGGTTTGAGGTGGGGGAGCAGATTGTTAATCCAAATGAATGTCTCCATAGAGGTAACTTAGAAAACCATAGTGTGAGCCAAGTAGGTTTGTGTGTTGATTTTACAAGGGTCACTTTGATCAGACTATTACTTTTCCCTAAAAGAGTTTTGATATAGCATTGCCCCAGGGCACAATTGCCTGAGAAAAAGATTTTGGAAGCAGGATAGAAGTAAATATTAATATAGTAGATTTACTTTGAATTCAGAAAATCTAATTTATAAAAAAGCATAAACAATACAAATGATAACCTCAGTATAGTTCAAGCTCATATGCGTGTTTTTATTTTGACTTTAAAGTTTATGTATTATGAAATGACTGTCTGCTGCCCTCCCTTCTTGCAGCATATAAGAATGAGAGAGTTGATACAATATTCTAATATAATGTTTAAAGAAGAAAATACATAATAAGTAATCTCCATGGGGTTTTTCTTATGAATAAAATGAACCAACTAAAGTAGATTTTAAGATAATTTCCATCTTCTTAAAGAGAAAAATTTGCTTTTGTTGACAGGTTTGCACGTCTACAGAAACTTCATATGAGTGTGGCTGGTCGCAACCTTTATATTCGTTTCCAGTCCAGGTCAGGTGATGCCATGGGGATGAACATGATTTCGAAGGTGAGCATGGATAGGCTGTAACAGAACTTGCAAGACTGTCCCAGGAAAGGGGAACTCAGTGTCAGGGAGACAGGAATGGGAGCAGACTCGCTGTCTACCTTATGCCTTCCTGTATTTTATACCTTGTTCGTGTATTACTTACTCAAATCATTAATTGATTATAAGATTTTTATTAAAAATTAAATACTGACTCACAACTCATTATATAAATTGGGCATTTGTTGATTGGTGGGGTTTGTATTTGATATATTTTATTTAGACGTGGCATTATACATGGGGATGGGAAGTCTTGGGGTTAGTACTTTTAAACTGTGTCCCATATACCTTGAAAGTTGATCTCTTCTAGAGACTTTAAGACTTGTGTTTAAGAAGCCAAGCTCATGTATATAGTCCATTTATTTTCATTATCTCTTTGTGAGAAGATTATGTATGGCTTACATTTTATTCTACTGATATTTGTTATATACAAGACACAAATGTAAAATGTTAAAGTCAATTACACTAACAAAATTTATTTTTTTGTTTTACCTATTTATAAGTACTATTTGGAAAGAGAGAATAGTGACTAAATGCATAAGCTTTAAAATTGCCAATAAACAGTATACAGTGGTTTCTATAGCCCTGGCCGATGTGGCTCGATGGTTAGAGGGTCCACCCTGCAGACCAAAGGGTCATGGGTTTGATTCCTGGTCAAGGGCATGTACCTGGGTTGCAGGTTTGATCCCCAGCTTCGGTCAGGGTGCATGAGGAAAGCAACCAGTTGATACGTCTCTCTCACATCAATGTTTCTCACTTTCACTACCCTCATTTCCACTCTAAAAATCAATGGAAAAATGTTCTTGGGTGAGGATTAAAAAATAAAAAAATATATATATGATTACTATGATCTAGAAATTCCTCTTCTGGCTATATACCCAAAAGAATTGAAAGGAAGGTCTCAAAGAGATTGTTGTACACCTTTGTTTATAGTAGCATTATTCACAATGACCAAAAGGTCGAAGCAGCCCAAGTGTCCATTGATGGATGACAGGATAAACAAAATGTGGTGTATATATACAATGGAATATTATGCAATCCTAAAAAGAAGGGAAATTCTGACATATGCTAAATGTGGACGAACCTTGAGGTTCACTTACTAAGTGAAATACTCTGATTACACAAAATAAATACTGTATGATTCCCACTTAGGAGCCACCTAAATTAGTACAGTTCATAGAGATAGAAAGTAGAATGGTGGTTGCCAGGAGCTGAGGAGAAAGGAGAATGAGGAGTTATTTAATGGGTATAGAGTTTCAGTTTTGCAAGATAAAAAGAGTTCTAGAGATTGGTTGTACAACAATGTGAATATACTTAAAACTACTAAACTGTAAACTTGAAAATAGTTAAGGTGGTAAATTCTGTTATGTATATTTTGCCACAATTAAAAACTATTTTTTAAAATTGCCCTCAAGTGTGTTTGGGTTATTGAGGTGTGAGTTAACCGAATTAATTTTACTTAATTGGAAATCATTAGAAGTCTTATTTATATATTTTTATTATTATTATTTTTTTAATTTTTGTATCCTCACCGGAGGACATTTTTTTTTGCATTTATCTACAGATAGAGCAGGAGGGATAGAGGGAGGAAGAGAGAGAGAAACATCGATGTGAGAGAGACACATCAAATGGCTGCCACCCACACGACTTCAACTGGGGCGGGGACAAACTGCAACTGAGGTACGTGCCCTAAGCAGGAACCGAACCTGGGACTCTCTGGTCCGCAGGCTGATGCTCTAACCATTGAGAAACCAGCCAGAGCTATATATATTTTGTTATTATTTTTATTATTTTAATCCTCACCCAAGAATATTTTTCCATTGACTTTTTTTTTTTTTTTTTTAGATAGGTGCGGGGGGAGAGAGAGAGAAGCATCAATGTGAGAGAGACACATCGATTGGTTACCTCCCACACAACCCTGCCTGGGCGGGGGATCAAATCTGCAACCTAGGTATATGCACTTGAGTAGAAATCGAACCCAAAACTTTTTGGTCCCTGGGCCAACACGCCAACCACTGAGCCAAACCAGCCAGGGCATTATTTTAGTTTATGTAATGTAAATCTCATCAACATTCCATTAATGATAAGACTTACCTTAACATCTGACCTCTCCTTTCAGGTTTGGTAAATTGTACTGTTAGGTAACCATTTAATAACCATAAGAAGGAATTTATTAAATGTTGATCATGGGTTGGGTAACTCTCTCCCCAGTGACATGAATGAGTATTATAATTTTATTGAGTACTTTTTAATATTCTCATCTACATTCTGTTCATCAATCACTACAAGGAAGTTCATTTTCATACCTAGAAAGAACCACTAGGAATCTGTACCTGACTGAGAAATTACTTTTGTGCTCAGTTTCTTTAAAGTATAGTTCTTGTATTAGAAATTAGGATTATTACAGTTACTGTGCTTAGTAGTATTAGTATTAAATATAAATAAAGCCTCTGATCTATAAATATCTGCATTTCAATGTAATTTTTTATTTGTTTGTTTTGTTATTGTTAATAGGGTACAGAGAAAGCACTTTCGAAACTCCATGAGTATTTCCCTGAAATGCAGATCCTGGCAGTCAGTGGTAACTATTGTACTGACAAGAAACCTGCTGCTATCAATTGGATAGAAGGGAGAGGAAAGTCTGTTGTTTGTGAAGCTGTCATTCCAGCCAAGGTTGTCAGAGAAGTGAGTGATTGGATAAATACTTGATGTTAATCTTTAATTGGATTTGAAAATTGGAAAAAGGAATATTAACGTTCTAAGTAAAGTTTAATATACAGGTGTATGTTTTACATTAAAGATGACTGTTTTATCATATCTTCCCCGTCTGTCTGTCTGTGGCATTCACAGGAACAAACTTAACTGACACTCTTTAATGAGGACAGGGCTTAAATGGGGCCACATCTAAACTTCCTTGTTTTCTGGAGGTACAGAAAGATAGATACGGATAACACACTGCTGAATCTTCTGGGAGGAGATGTAAAATGTGTACAACCCTGTTTTCTAGGTGTTAAAGACTACTACGGAAGCTATGATTGATGTCAATATTAGTAAGAATCTGGTGGGCTCTGCCATGGCCGGGAGCATTGGAGGTTACAATGCCCACGCAGCAAACATTGTCACTGCCATCTACATTGCCTGTGGACAGGTGAGCGCTCCAGCTTCCACTTCTCTTCTCTTTTCTTGTTCTAAGTAATAGAAGTTTTATATTTTTCCTTTTTTTTCCCCCCCAGGATGCAGCACAGAATGTTGGTAGTTCAAACTGTATTACTTTAATGGAAGCAAGTGGTCCCACAAATGAAGATTTGTATATCAGTTGTACCATGCCATCTATAGAAATAGGAACTGTGGGTGGTGGGACCAACCTGCTCCCTCAGCAAGCTTGTTTGCAGGTATGAAGCATTTGTGACCTCAAGCCTAGTTCTCAGTGAGATTCTCTTTGTTTCTACCTGACACTGCATATGACTCACCTCTATATTGTAGCTGGTCTTTTTATTCTTGTTTCCCACCAGCCTAGTCCAAGTATGTTTGGACATATGCTTAGTAAATTGAGAAAGGAGATTAAGAGCAAATTAATATTCATGTACTCTAAGTGTGCACTGCCAGCCAGGCTGTGCGTGTACCTTAACTATGGTGTATACATTGTTGGTGCAGGCTGTCACATCTTGGAAATTCAGTGGAGTCTAGTTCTATTCTGATGCCATTGTAGTTGCCCTGACTTTAATTAGGTAAGTAGGAAATTATTGCCATGACTTTAAGGGTGAGTCTCTGTGTCTCTCTCTGGCTGCAGATGCTAGGTGTTCAAGGAGCATGCAAAGACAATCCTGGAGAAAATGCCCGGCAGCTTGCCAGAATCGTGTGTGGTACAGTGATGGCTGGGGAATTGTCGCTGATGGCAGCATTGGCAGCAGGACATCTTGTCAAAAGTCACATGATTCACAACAGGTAAGTCTTCAAGATTTATTTAACATATTTTCCCTGTACTCAAAATATGCAGTATGAAAACCTAGTATTCAGCCCTGGCTGGTGTGGCTCAGTTAGTTGAAGCATCATCCAGTGCACTAAAAGGTTTCGGGTTAGAATTTCGGTCAGGGCACATAGCCAAGTGCTGGTTTAGTCCCGTCAGGGCGTGTGTGGGAGGCAATCCATCGATGTTTTTTTCTCTCTCTCCTTCTCCTTTCTTCTCTCTCTAAAATCAATAAACATATCCTCAGATGATTTTTTAAAAAGCAAATCAATAATAAAAATAAAAACCTAGTATTCAAATACAATCGTCCCAACTTAAAATTTTGCATTTTTGACATTTTGTCTCTGTCTTTTTTCCCATAGGTCAAAGATAGATTTACAGGACCACCAAGGAACTTGCACCAAGCAGGCTGCTTGAATAGCCTGACAATTCTGAACTGAAATACGGGTGTTGGGTTTTAAAGGACTAACATAAAATCTGTGAATTAAAACGCTCAATGCAGTGTCTTGTTGAGGATGAATAGATGTGATCCATGAAGTGGCTGCTTGGTGTTGGGCTCTTTCAGAAAAGTCTGAGGTCCTTTCCATGCCGATTCCTCAGCTCTGAAGACAGTTTAGTGCTTTTCGTGCTGTGCTCTCTGGAAAGATCTCAACGTGGATATTATGCTTTAAAGCATCACAGATGGTAATCGACAGCTCACTTCTGAAAGAGAATGCACGCTGGAAAAAAGTGTTTTGATGAAATTCACAGAGTTCATGGTGATCAGTGTGAGATTGGCCCTCCCCCCTCAACTCCACCACCCCGGGTTGAAGATGGATTTTTAAATTATACTGTAGCTGACAAAACTCCTGATTTCATAGTAATTTATTAAGCCTGGGTTGTAGAACTTTAATAAGAGCTAATTTTATTTTTTGTGAACTAATATAATACTTCATTTGGTGCTGGTCTATTTTGATTTCTTTCGTGGTAGCCAACATGATTCTTCAGAATAGAACTGCTTTCTTCAAGGGAAGAATTACTCTTATTCCCCAACTACAGAATAATGTGCTAAGCAGTGCTAAATAGTTCTCTACCAAGAACACAAGTCACTGCATTTATTTCTGCAGGCTATTTGTTCAGAAAGGCCTGTTGTCAAAATACGTTTGTCTAGATTGGCTATAACATATCTTCCAACATAAGACTTTAAGAAACAGTTTTGTGCTCTTTCTTAATACCAGAGCTCTTAATATTGCTTAAACCAGCAATTTTCAACCTTTTCCATCTTGTGGCACACATAAACTAATTACTAAAATTCTGTGACACACCAAAAAAATAAGTATTTTTTGCCAACCAAAAAATTGTGTTGGCTGTTGTCACTTTTTTATTTGACAATCTAAGGGAAAAGAGGTCTGTGCTCCTGACTAAATAGTCAGGTATTGCATATTTTAAAAATTCTTGGCAGCACACCGGTTGAAAATCGCTGGCTTAGACAAAGGTGACTGTTTATGAAGAACATACAAGTCTGGCCCTGGCCAGTGTGGCTCAGTTGGTTGGGCATCGTCCTGTGCACCAAAGGTTGCCAGTTTGATTACTGGTCAGGGCACATGCCTGGGTTGCAGGCTCCATCCCCCACAGCGGGCATTCGGGAGGCAGCTGATTGATGTCTCACTCTCACATGATGTTGCTCTCTTCTCCCCTCCCCCTCCCTCTCTCTTTAAAAAAAAAGAAGAAACAAAATGTACAAATCTGTGACCCCTCTCAGACCTCAGAGGGTGGAAGATAGGTTTGAAAGAAAAATACCATTTCTCTAATGAATTTTAATTTCTTAAAAGACACTTAAATTTATTTAGCTGAAAAATCTAGATAGTTTTTGTAAAGAATTGTATCAAATCTGTACATGTTAAAATAGAGCTTCTTATGCTGGGAATTTATTGAAAGTGTTTAAGAAATAAATAAAAATCAACTTGTACGCTGATAAAACACTCTAAGCTTAGGCCAGAGACGATAGTGTTCTTTAATGTCCAGGAAACCCTGGCTTGTTTGTGGAGCCTAGTGAAAGGGTAAGTCAGGTTTCAGAGCCAGTGAAGGCGCCGTGTGAATGGCCCTGGAGAGTGCCTTGTTCCTGTGGCCAGGAGGTTGGTGACTGACACATTCACACAGGGCTCTTTGATGGACCCATTAAAGCTCTTAGCTTTCTCAGGGGGTCAGAGTTGTGGGATCTTAATTTTTTTTAATGTACAAGTTTTGTATAAGTAATAAAGAATTCCTTATTTTGTATTATATCTGATGCTTCAAGTGTTGGTCTTAGAGAGCCGATGGCTCGCGTAGAAGATGGACTGAGAACATTCCGGCGATGCCCTGCCAGCCTGGGACCCTCTGCGTGCGTCTGCAGCGTTGTTGTGGAAGTTGTCTGTAAACTTTCAATTGCTTCTGTTGTGACTTTTCAGCCAATGACTTCTTATTTATATGAACTTTTCATAGAAGTGGCAGTGAAAAATACGTTGAGTCTTCATTTTGGTGACTATAACCAATATTGTCTTGCTAAATTCATGTTTTGTACAATTACTAAATTGTATACATTTTGTTATACTTTTTTCCAGTTCCAGTAAATTATGAAAAGGAAGTTAATACTAATAAGTGTAAGCAGTAACCCTTCTTGTTTGGATTAACCCTCATCCTGAGGCCTGGAAGCTTGTAAAGTCTGGCCAGAGTGGAAACCTATAATTCACGTTAGGGATCGCATGACCATTTATCGTTCTCCATTGTATTCAACTCTGCAGCACTGATGGCAGGCTGGTGTTGCATGCACATTAAAATTCTCTTCATTAGAGAGTTTGATTAGTTCAGATTTATCATTTCAACTGAACTGCTTTTGGATGGTGGGGCTGCGAAGGTCAGTAGAGAGGACGAGGGCATAAAGATTGGGCAGCTGAAGCCAAATGGCCATTGCAGCTGTGCATTTAAGCCCTTATTAGCTGAATTGCAGAGGACAGTGTTGGCCTCTTTAAAAGCTGACTCCCATTTATTTGTAATTAGTGACTACACTTCTGCTGTAGTTAAGAGGTGAAAAGGTATATGTGAGCCTCTGAGAACAAAGGCCCAGATAATAGAAAATCAGTTTGAATTTTTCTTCCCAGATGACGTGATCACCTGCAGGGTTGCCCTCCCCACCCCCACCCCAGTGGAGCAAGTTGGATAGGCAAAAATAGGATTTTTACCCCCTTTTCTGTGTGGTGATTTTATGAGTAAAGTACATGTGGCAGGACAGGACTTCCTCATCTTAGGAGAGGATAGAGAAGTCGAAAAGAACCATCTCACATTGTTGAAGAGTCTGAACTCAAATAAGGACACAGCAGCCCAGGCCAGTTTGGCTCAACAATTAGAGCATCAGCTCTTGAACCAAAGAGTCACAGGTTCCGAGAATTGGCTCTTGAACCAAAGAGTCACAGGTTTCGTTCTGGACCAGGGGTCGTGCCTCTGTTGCGGTTGGGTCCCCGACAACCAGTCGATGTGCCTCTCACATTGATGTTTCTTTCTCTTTCCCTCCCTCCCACTCTGTCTGAAGATAAATGGAAAAAAAATCCTCAGGTCAGGATTTAAAAAAAAAGCAGCAGAACACATCAATACAAATCCTCTGCATATAGGCGAAATGAGCAGTAAATTCACTATAGAAAATATTTTTCAGGACGAATGGTTCTTTAACTATCCTGGCCACGACTAATTTATTAATAATAAATTGCAGTTAGCAAAGATTAATGGATAACCTGTACAGTGGAAACCAGAAGACAGCAAATGATATATATAACTTACAACTATGTTGCAACACTTTTTTCCCTTCCTCAACAAATTTGGGAGCTACTGAGGGAGGTGTGGGCACTCTTGTATTAGGGTAGCAGTTGCTCCCCAAGGCCAAGAAGAGAGCCTTGAGCTAACTGCAGTGAGGAGGTAGAACACAAGTGTATTAACCCAGTGCTTCTGCAACTTGAGTGTGCAATACACTCACCTGGAAGACCTGTCAAAGCATGCTGGGTCATCCCAGTGTTTCTGATTCCCTTGGTCTGGGGTGGGGCCAGGACTTTGACTGTTCCATTGATGCTGCTATGGCTCTAAGTTCTGGGTGTCAGTATGAGGTGCCTGATGTTACTGAATGAACAATAATAGAAAATTATGTTTGTTCAGAAGCACGCAGTTGGGAAACACCACAGGGAGATCAGGTGTTGGTTAATAAGACTTACTTAGAATTAATCTTAGAGATACAGTAACTAACCAACTAACCCTGCACTCCACCTATAACCATTCCCCGACCCTGCCCCACCAAGCAACACTGAAGGTCTCCATTTCTTCATTGAATGGAATGACTTCTCCAGAGAGACATCTAGCCTGCACTGACTATGGAATTCTTTTGCTTTCCTGTCACTTAAAATTTGAAATGGTGCCCTGGCGAGTTTTCTCAGTGGTTAGAGCATCAGCCCATGGACCAAAGGGTCGTGGGTTTGATTCCCAGTCAAGGGCACGTACCTGGCTCGCAGGTTCAATTCCTGGCCCCCCAGTTGGGGTCATGTGGGAGACAACCAGTCAATGTGTCTCTCTCACATCGATGTCTCTCTCTCCCTCTTCTCCCTTCCACTCTATATCTAAAAATCAATAGATATATGGGAGAGCCTAATTGCCAATGATACATCAGATAAGGGGTTAATTTCCAAAATATATAGAGTACTCTTACAACTCAACAAAAGGAAGACAACCCAATTTAAAAAATGGGCAGAGGAGCTAAATAGACACCTCTCCAAGCAGGACGTACAAATGGCCAAGAGACATGAAAAAATGCTAAACATCTCTAATCATCAGAGAGAAGCAAATTAAAATAACTATGAGGTATCATCTCACACCTGCCAGAATGGCGGCCATCAACAAATCATCAAACAACAACGTGCTGACGAGGCTGTGGGGAAAAGGGGACTCTAGTACACAGCTGGTGGGAATGCAGACTGGTGCAGCCACTATGGGAAACAATATGGTGTTTCCTCAAAAAGGTAAAAATTGAACTGCCATTTGACCCAGTGATCCCACTTCTAAGAATATACCCTAAGAAGCTTGAAATACCAATCAGAAAGAATATATGTACCCCTACAGCAGCACTATTTACAATTGCTAAGATCTTGAAACAGCCCAAGTGTCCATCAATAGATGACTGGATAAAAAAATGGTAGTACATATACACAATGGAGTACTATGCAACTGTAAGAAAGAGAGATCTCTTATCCTTTGAGACAACATGGAGGGACCTGGAGATTATTATTCTAAGTGAAACAAACCAATCAGAGAAAGACAAATATCACTGATCTCACTTATTCGTTGAATATAATGAACAAAACAAGCTGATGAACAAAATAGACTCATAAAAGTAGGGTACAGACTGACAAACCTCAGAAGAGGGGTACTGGGGGGCAGTGGGTTGGTGAGGGAGGGAAGAGATAAACCACAGAATTTATATGCATGTATGCGTAACCATGGACATAGATGACAATGCTGGGGGTGGGGGTGGGGGCAGGATTAGGAGGAAGGTATCAGTGGGGGGAAAAGAAGAAACATCTGTAACAAAAATAAAAATATCAGTAAGCTTATTATCTCACAGTTAAAAATAATTAAAAATCAATGGAAAAATATTCTTGGGTGAGGATTAACAACAACAAAAAGAAATTGAATTGGTAAACAGCCCTTAGTGAATGGGGTAGGGGATGGTTGAGGGAGCAGGTCCGTCTCCACTTGCAATCAGCTGGGATTGTATGTTAGACGTGTTGGACACAATAAAGCAAATCCAGAGTAGTGTTCATCCTAAATGTTGTGTGATGAATGAACCTTTCTCCCAGCTCACTCCTAGCCTGAAGATCTCACTGGAGCCTCTACCTCTCTGCCCATTTCATTGTCTGTACTCGAGCGGTAGCCTCAAAGGGCTAATGAAACCAAGTTTTGGTCCACTTCCTGCCTCAATCTCTTCTGGTATAGGGTATAACCTGTGAGAGCCCTCTCTTATTCTTAAACCTTTATTGCTCTGAATAGCAAAATATGCTCAGATCTGCATAGAGCTGCCCACGGCAACTTCAACAGATGTGGATCCTCTCACACTGCACAAGAAGCAAAGCTTGAACTTGGCTTGCTGGTGTAGCCCGGGTAACTGCAAAGGTCTGGGGAAAGGGCATCTGTGACTTGCTTAGGACAGTGCCTACCTAGACCAGTAGAATCCAAACCTTGAACACCCAGAAAAAAATGTTCAGACACACCCCTCCAATAAATGTATTTC